AGATAAATCGACCAAATCATCCAAGGGAGCCTTACGTGATCCACGGGGTTCATGGCAACACCACGGGTCTTGGGCCAAGAGTTGCGCTTGACAGCGAACTTGTGCTTGGCGCGAGAAGCCTCTGTAGGGAAATTGTTAGCCATCAAAGTTCTCTTCCTTAACCGCATTCTCTTCAAAGATGGATCCAATGGAGCCGGATTTTCGGAGACATACTGAGCAAAGGCTTGTCGGTACGACCACCACCAGCGACGATACCGATCATACCACGGGCGGTGTTCTTGACGACCTTCTTGGCACCGGAGGGGAGCTTGACACGGGTCTTGCCCTCCTCAGGGTTGTGGCCGATGACGGTAACGTAGTTACCGGAGGTACGACCAAGAGCACCACGGTCACCAGCCTTCTCCTCGACGTTGGTAACAACGGTACCCTCAGGGACGGAGGCGAGGGGAAGGACGTTTCCGACAGTCAGGGCGGCGTTCTTTCCGGCGTAGACGAATTGACCGGTGTACATGCCCTCGTTGGCGATGAAGGTCTCGGTGATGGTCTTGAACTTGTAGGGGTGACGGAACTGGACCTTGGCGAGGGGAGCACCACGGCCGGGGTCGTGGATGATCTCCTTCACGACACCACGAGTGTATCCATGACGCTCAGCGTAGTCGAGGGTGCGGAACTGGGCAGGAGCCTTGTTGAGACGGGTGTTTGCCGCTGTCGAGCGAGAAAAAATTGTATCAGTAAAAATTGATCTGGAGATGCAGCGAATTTCGCTTCAATCTGAATTCTGCTGGTCGCACTCACTGAAAATGGATCCACGACCCTTCCTCTGGTTGCGGATCACGCGACCCATGGCGACTGTCTATATAGGAACCTGGACGTTAGTATTGAGAAAGTTCCGCCTGGCGACCTTGTGGTGGGAGAGTTCGAGTTCTCGTACCTCAAAATGCTAAGATTGGGCTTGTCGGGTTGGTGTTGAGAATTCGTCGGCGAAGGGCTGTGTGGGCTTTAGGGTGGAAGTCGCTAATCTAACCGCGCTAGGACTAGTGTGGTTTTGTGGGCGCGGCTGCGTGGCGCGGGTCGCCTTCTTACTAAGACGGTATAACTAACGTTGGACTTAAGCGGTTAACGATCATATCTTGCTTGCATTTGGTGAACTCTGCTATCATCAGAGTAAAGAAAGATTATTAGGACTGCAAAGTAGTGAGGTTGCTGATGATATGCAGCCGTTGTCAGTATTTAATTTCCTTCTAGATACATACTGTCCCTTCTTCCTGAATTCCACACTTCATTAACTCGTTCTTATTGAACTGCCGCTTCCCATTCATCTATCCTGTCTCTATCCCGGTCACTTGCGGTTTAATCATGTCGGATTCCATCTCCTGACAAGCAGTATTCCTCCTGCTGCTGTTACCTGAGATGTCCCTGCAGTGGGCTATTGACTCGAGCCACCGCCTCTTTATATTTGTCCCGGGCTGACCTGGCTTAATAGCACTATTGTCTTACTGGCGTCTCTATATTACTTGGATGTTTTTCTCCATGTAAACAGATCATACTGGTTCAGAATGGTCAAATTTGATCATCCGGGTCAGCGAAACGGGATCTTGATGTTTGCCGCATCTCGTTCCGTCGTTGGGCTTTCTACATGTCCCCGGGCCGCCTCAGGGTCACCCACCGATCCGCAATTTCAAAAGGTCACAAAGTGTACCCGGGCAAATGGGATCTGACGCGCCTGGGGAGACTGCCACAAGGTTATCCTGGCATCTTCACGCCACCAGGCTGCTTAATGTGGATCTACACACTGTCCTTGTCACATCCGGCGACCCGAACGTTGACAACTTCTTGCAGAATTGTATGTCTGCTTAAGGGAACGTCGCCCAAATGCCCTCAGAAATGATGTTAGGGCAAGACCCAATGTCTGAACCCTGAAGGACTAAGTCGCGCTTTTTGACGATTAGTTACACTCCTTCGTTGTTGGAGCGGACGCTCGGGTAGTATTGATCTATTAAGAGATTCGAATTTCATGATCCAAAAGCTACGTTGCATTAATGACACTCATCGATGAAATCTTCTGAATGTAGTCTATTCCGCAGACCTGTTGCGCGTCTGATGGAGCTCAGTTCGCGATAGCGAATGTGTTATCGTGATTGGGTGTTGATCATCCCTGGATAAGGGCTGCTCTTGATGATGCCAGACAGGCCAGGCGCGTAAAAGCCGCGCTCCAACCCAAGTAGGTAGCAGTAGCGTAAAGTAGAACTTCTGCCGCGGATTCGCCCGCTCTGTCTTGCCTCACCACCACCACCTGCGGACAGCACCACAAACATGTCGAACATGTCCCTCTCAGACTCGGACCTATCGTCGCTTTCGTCGGCGCCTCCGTCCGATGAAGAAACGGGCTCCATGGCCATTGATGAGCCCGTCGGCATCACGAAATACTTCAAGAAGGAGTCCGAATCTCCGCCGCCGAAGCGGGAGCCCTCACCACCCCACGAATATGTGTTGGCGGATAATCCAGATATTGCAGTATGTTCCGGGAGGATTCTACGATAATGAAGACTCTTCTAAAGCTCTTTGGACGCGTTTGGCACGTTTCCTGATCATGTTTGCTGACCTGTCGCAATGTGTAGTTCATTGTAATGTTCCGTGCGCGTTTTAACGATGCGTTCCCGCGATCTACACCACACTTTGGACCACAGGACGTTGAAAGAGGCGTCGCGGAATCTCCTCCAGGCGATCATATTGAGAGATTGTTATGTGCATTTCTTGGATTGGTATTGAACCGGAAGAAGGATGTCGAGTATGACTGCCTCCTACGCCCCAGACCCTACACTCTTGGAAGATACGACGGGGAGCTCCTTTTCGACCACACATGTGTCAATGCTGGTTACTATACATCAAAGCTAACTCGCTCAATCAATGCGCAGTCGAAATCACTACCAGCGTCCCTTGGAAGAGGCGATCCAAACCCATGCTTCTCAGTGGCCTAAGGCTTGGCAAGGCAAGAACCCTCTGCACGGGGGTCGCACATTCGCAACCATGTCGCCAGAAGAACGCGTACGTCGCCTAACTCGAACCAAAACTACCGAGAGCTCGCATACTGACATTGTCTAGTTGGTGTTACTGAAATCCTTGATCCTCTGGTCCCTTGCCTCGTCCGATGCCATCCAAGCCAAAATCAAAGAGTCCTACAAACAGGCACGCCACGAAGACGACCTGAACCAACCACTCTCCGTCCAACCGTGGGGCCGCGACGGCCTCAAGCGCAGATACTGGCTCATTGAAGGATTGGATGATACACATTTCAGACTGTACCGCGAGGGCAACCCAGCCCTCAAGAATGTTACCTGGTGGAGTATCGCGGGAAATATCCCTGAGTTGAAGGCAGTTGCGGATAGACTTGACGGCGAGAAAAGCATCCACTCCAAGAAACTCAGTGAGCGGATAAGGAACTCTATACCCCGCTTTGAGGGCTCAGAGGAGGTAAGCCGTCGCTTCTATTTGTGGTTCTTTTCATCGGTGCTTACTAGTGGCAGAAACGCAAGCGTCGAGATTACCGGATTGCGCGAAAGGCGGCATTCGCTCGGCCAGAGCCTGGCTTCTCCTTATATGAAGGCCGTACACGCGGAAAGAAACTGAAATACACCTACTCCGATGACGAGGACATCTTCTCTGATGGCCTTCCTTCTACACGGCGCTCAACGCGCAATACCTCGGGAATTTCCACACCCCCAGAACCAGCCGGCCCCAGATTTACAGCCAGTGGTAGGCAAATACGGTCTCGCGCGGGCGGCCTTTATGGCGAGACGTTATTGAGTGGACAACGCGAGGATGGCGATGCTGGCGACGAGGGTAGACCCACAAGGGGTCGGACGACGCGAGCAAATGGATATACAGAGTACGACGATGAAGAAATGGATGAAGGTTCGGAAGGAGGACAATCCAGCGGAAATGAGTGGCAAGGGAACGAAGGCGAGGAAGAAGAGGACAACGAATTCGAGGGCGACGACGAAGAGGAGCTGAGTGGTGATGAAGCAGTGATGAACGGAGAACCACCAAGCCTTGTGGTACAACTCAGGTACAATAAGGACAAGGTCCCAAGTAGCCCCAATGGCCCAACAGAGGAACCCTTACAGCAAGATCCGAAGAGCAAGGAGGATGTGGCTAAACCGGTCACGGCGACCGGTGCGGAAGATGCACTGCAAGGACAACCACCACCCGCAGTGAACGGGCAGAGCTCCCAACCAGACGTTGTCGCAAAGACTCTACCGGATGCTGCGCCCGCAGCCCAAGATGTCACCACAACTGACACTTCTGCCAAAGCCGATGTATCGCAGCCGACTGCGACTGAGACGAAGACCCAAACAGCTTAGAAAGGATGAAACTAGGCAAGACACATATACTATAACAAACACAGTACCAATGGTCGATTCCCCTGGTCTCGATAGAGTTATCTACCGAAATACGATATTTCTTGTCAGACTTGAGATATAACTCGCTCACATTTTTTTCAAGGCGTTTTCTGTTCGCGGGTGGAATTTGTCGGGTCAAGCTTTGCGGCAAAAAATTGTGCTGTTATTAGAAATGCGACGTGTGTGATATGGAAATCTACCGTGACTGCTATATAGCAGGATGAATATGGGCGTGAATCGTGAATTGATCAGTATCGGTATTAGAGAGATGAGGGATTATTCGACCCCAAGATATAATCTGTCATACTACTATATGGAATACCAGATGGATGGACGGACCTCTTGCTAGGGCTGCTATGCGCTATGTACAGTATTTAAATTGCAAGTTTGGGATGAAACAATAGAAGTCTCGTATCCCTTGGGTGTAGATACTAGAGATAGTGTGTAGGAAAATTGAAAGCTCCAGGCTATATAAGGGGAAGCTTAATATCAATGAGAAACGCCGTACGCTAAACTCCCAAAATGCGGACTTTACTAGACACCCACAGTCACGTCAATACCTTTGACAACCATACATATAAATCACTCAAAAAAGCCGACCTAGTCAGCACCGGCATTCGAGAACTGGGCCGTGTAGAACTGCAAGAACTCCGCAAATGTCAGTGTCTGTCTCATTGGTTTGCATGACCGAAACTCTCGGCTGAGGAATAAAGTCCTTGAAATAAAACTATCCCAAGGATGGATAATGGTATGAATGCACTCACGTCTTCCACCTTCGCCGCAATGCGAGGATCCTTAGCCGACCGCAGGGGAGGTAACTTCCAGTTGTTCACCTCATACCACCATCTCCGGATCTTGCTACCGAGTGTCTGACCGCTGAGGGACGCGTTGCGGTTCCAGAATCGCCAGCCGGAGAGAGCGAGAGTCCAGACGGTGCCCTGGATAAGAGGGAGGAGGACCTAGAGCGCATTTGTGTCAGTTTGAAGACTCTCTTGCTTCCAGTGGAATCCTGCAAGACAGGCAGGTTACCTACCTGGTCTCTGATGGTAATCCAAGCTACTCGGCCCCAGGTATCAGCTCCCCGCAAGCTGGCGAGATAGCTCTGTTCGAAGCGCAGATCGGGCAATGGAGGCAGCTGGTGTCGTCGCGAGACGGGCTTGATCATGCGATGGGGGGCGACGACATCGGAGGGGATACTGCCTGCTTCGGAGGCGACATCGTCTTCCACGACGGGCTGCTTCTCGGAGGCTGCGGTGGGCGGGTTGACGTCGTGTTCCGCGGACGGCTCCGGGTTGATGGAGGCGGTTTGGATGACTTCAGGGATTTGGAGGGCGGGGTCGGTCATGATGGGTGGTAGATCTGTTTAAGGGGCAGATAAATGTGTGAATGGAAGGATTTCGGACCCGCGGGTTTTGACACCGGGTGGAATTTAAACTTGTGGATAGTAAGATTGAGCGTATAGACTAAAAGCAAGTAGGGGAGGAATGATGGGATAGTCCGGGCACGGAGTAACTTGTTGGTTCCTGCGGCCAATCAGCGGGAGGCAGCCATTACGCCCGCCTTTTTGGATTCTGCATGGCTGCCCCTCCTTGACTTGGTATATCTCTCGCTGCTCTCTCTCCCTCTTCTCTCTTCCTTTTCTCTCACTCTCTATATCCTCCCTTACTTTTTCTATACCCCATACCTCTTTTCTCCCCCATTTTCTTCCACTCCACCCTCCACAATGGCTGCTGCTCAAGGTTACCCTCTTCTGTGCCTGGAGAACCCCCTCCTCGGTGCGTGAGATTTCCCCTCCGTCCCTTTCTCTCGCTGCTTACTATCCCCGGATCTTACATTGTTCAATGGGCTAACTTACGGTATCTTGATTGCTTCCGATAGACATCCAGGCTGTCGGGTATGTTACTTCTTCCGGAAACCCTAAATCATAATTAATCTCTCTTCAAAGTATTCTAACATTGTCACTAGTGATGCCGCCCTTCTGCAGAAGTATGGCCTGAAGGACAACGATGCTATCCTTGCTGAGGACCAGCACATGGGTCTCTACGACGAGCTGTTCGCCAAGAACGATGTCAAGCTGATCGCCGGTGGTGCTGCCCAGAACACTGCCCGTGGTGCCCAGGTACTTAGACAACCCTGAACCCTTCCAAGGCCTATGGACGAATGTTAACGTGATGCCGAACTAGTACGCTCTTCCCGCCAGCTCCGTCTGCTACATCGGATGTGTTGGCCGTGACAAGTACGCCGAGATCCTGAAGGAGGCTTGCGAGCAGGCCGGTGTCCACACCGAGTACCGTGTCGACGATGCCCAGCCCACCGGCAAGTGCGGTGTCATCATCACCGGCCACAACCGCAGCATGTGCACCCACCTTGCTGCCGCCAACGAGTACAAGATCGAGCACTTGAAGCAGCCTCACATCTGGTCTCTCGTTGAGAAGGCCCAGTTCTACTACGTCGGTGGTTTCCACCTTACCGTCTGTGTTCCTGCCATCCAGGCCCTCGGTGAGGAAGCTGCTGCTAAGAACAAGGTATGGTCAATCCCATAGGTTTTTGTTGACAACTTGCTGACGAGGATTCAATTACAGGTCTTCATGCTCAACCTCTCTGCCCCCTTCATTGCCCAGTTCTTTAAGGACCAGCTGGACAGCGTCCTCCCCTACACCGACTACACCTTCTGTAACGAGACCGAGGCTCGTGCTTTCTCCGAGAGCCACAGCTGGGGCACCGACGACGTCGTCGAGATCGCCAAGAAGCTGGCTCAGCTCCCCAAGAAGAACTCCAACCGTCCTCGTACCGCCATCGTGACCCAGGGCACCCTCCCCACTGTCGCTGCCACCGTTAAGCCCAACGGTGAGGTCGAGGTCAAGGAGATCCCCGTCCGTGAGATCCCCAAGGAGAGCATCAACGACACCAACGGTGCTGGGTAAGTAATCAACTTCCTATACAACTCAATTGCTGGAATCAGAACCTAACCGTCACACAGTGACGCCTTCTGCGGTGGTTTCTGCGCCGGTATCGTCCAGACCAAGTCCCTCGAGGACAGCATCGACATGGGCCAGTGGCTCGCTTCCCTCAGCATCCAGGAGCTGGGTGCCTCGTAAGTCCCCAAATCAGCCCCATCCATCCATCAAACACATGTCTGGCAGTGACTGACCCGAAATGCCCGATATCTAGTTTCCCCTTCCCCAAGCAGGCCTACACCCCCATCAACCGCTCCTAAGCATCCTCCACCAAACACCCACCCTCGGAATCGTGGAGCCATAGCTGATACCTTTTTCTCTCTCATCTACAAAAAATTTCCTATTTTCCCTTCCTCTTCTCTTCTAAAGATTCAACCTTCTATACCCCTCACGTCCTTGACTTAACGTCTTAGACTATGCTGTTTTCATCAACGGTCTATGTATGCGGATCCTCGCTATCACGCTTTCCCTTTGGGTTTTATTTTTCATGATGATGGATAGATATTGCAGAGTTGCAGATGATGACGTTCTCAACAACGAATTTAATGAAGAATTTATCTTGGTTGTATATATAATATATACTACAAAAACAGAGTCGAATCTTTTCGATCTATTTTGGGACTTGCTTGGTTTAAAGTGGAAACTAGTGATATCGTATTGGTAGAATACTAACCTATGATAATGACATGAGGTCTGTAAAGGATAGGGAGAGTCAAGTCACAATAGTGGCTATGACTAGGAAGTGAGGAGTAAGACGAATAATGATAAGATGAATTCGAATTCTTCTTGTAACGCTTGCATGTGCACAATCAATCCATGCCGTGGCCTCATATATAGATAGCTAGCTAGCTGCATGCAGTTTAATCATTCTCCCCATCCTCCTCACCCTCATCAGTGCACAAGCGTCAAGCCCTTGAGATCATTATCATCATCGTCATCATCGTATCCCAGGCACAGTCAAATCTCATCAACAAGCCCTTTTATTCTGCGATAACCCGCCGGTGACGGCTATGGATGGACGAGCATCATCCAATCCTATGGTATTCGGATCACGCCATTGTCGGGACCTGAGCTGTGGTAATGAGTGACGAAGGGTCTGCATAGCAATGCCCATTCCTCCTCTTTATTCCTACCAAGCCTTCCTTTGCCAGCCTGATCCGACTACAAAAGGATTGAGAATTCGGAGATAGATGGATAGGGTCGGTCACTCAGTCCTTGGGACACACAGCTAGATAGTCGCATGCTTCCTCAATTCTGCTCATGTGTCTGCGAAAGAGGTGCTGAAATATGAATAGGCATACTGACCCACCCACAGAACTTGGTTGAGTGGTACAGTCTTTGAGATCAGCCTCCGTGGCCGCAGGGAGGAGTCTGCCCGATGGCACCGTATTGCGTGGCGGATTTACGAGTGTTGGTGAACCCGGGACTGGAAAACCCTGCTCCGGAGGGGAAACTGCTGGCGATGAATGCATTATTGGCCCAAGATGCATTACTTAGTCCGCTGGACATGGGTTGGCTGGACACTCCTAAGGAACCAGGTGTGTTTGCAGCGGCGTCTACTAAGCTTTGATCCCATGAGAATCCAGAAAGGCGGTGGTGCGACGTAGAGTTGAGCGAGGGCATCCAGGAGGAGGGTATGGTACTAGGTCCATTGAGCGGACTGTGCCTCAAGGGTTGATTCATCATGCTCTGCCGGAGCATGCGCTCATTCTCGCTAGCGATCATATCCTGAGATGTTGGATTGTTCCCCAAGGCTTGGTTTATCATGCTCTGCCGGAGCATGTGCTCATTAGCAATCATATCCTGAGATGGTAGATGATGATTGGGACTGGCGATGTTTCCAGGCAGCATGGAAGCCGGGTACTGTTGTCCCAGACCTGGCGGAGTCCGTGGCGAAGGCGCATCACCGAGCTCCGGCGATAGAGCCGTGTTCCAAATGCTTGGGATACCAGGAAGGGCAGGCCGGGCGGCGTAAGAGTGGGAAGACGACACTCGGACGAGAGGCGCAGAGCCAGTCACGGGTGGTACGAGTCCAGGGGGAGCAGCAGGGGTCTGCCTGGGAAGGAGATCCTCTGGGAAGATCGAATCCATACTTGAATCGAAGAACTGGCTGGATGGTCGCTGTTGATTGCTGCTCCGTGGAAAAGCCAGCTGCTCTGGTACGGCCGGAGCATTCTCGTAGGTGTCGGATTCTACTAATCGTTCCACACCTTCAACGATCCGATGCATGCTAGCTGACATCGATGCGGAGGCGGCCTGTGAACCACCAAAGACACTCCTAGTGTCAACGTTGTGGCTGGGATCAGGGGCTGCCTTTTGGATGTCGTCCCGTTCAATACTAGCGGATGAGATCGTATGGTGATGGCCGGAGGGACTGGCGAAGAACTGCGAAGGGAGCCCTTCTTCTTGGTAAATAAACGTTTTCTTGTCTTCATCGTCCACCAGGGCAATGGGTATTTTCTGAGCAGACAGTAGTTAGCATGGCGATTGAGGATAACAATAAGCACGTAGTATCCATACATTGCTCACAACGAGATCCAAGCCATCAATAACAAACTCGCGGATTCGGTAGAGCATCTCCATATTGGGGTGATTTCTTTCTACCCCAGGATCGTTCATTCGGGGCTTCTGCTGGCCAGTCGAGCTGAAGTACCTCCGGGAAGTTGCCTCTTTGGCCAAGGGCGCAAAACACAAGGTCTCTTCATCCTCTTCCAGCAAATAGTCGATCTCAGGCAGATGCACTACATCGAACGTCGACGCAAGAAGGGTTAAAGTGTTGGCATAAATCTTCCAGAACTCGATGATCTGGACTGCTAGAGGACTGTCCTTTTCCCCTTGGTAGGACACCAGTAGGCTGCTGGCTGTAAGGAGCCAAGAGCTGTAGTTTCGTAGCGCCGGAAGGACACGTCGTGCAACGACAGTAACCTTATCAGGTCCGGTTTGGGCGTCTTTGTTGCTGGGGTCCTCAACCGCAAAGCGTTCGACTTCGGCCAGGAGAATCTGGAGCAATGTGAAGAATGTCTTCACGTTGATCCGTTGGAAGAAGGAACGCGCATTGGACGTGGAATCATCTAGTAATTTGGTTCAATGCACGCTTCTATTAACGGGAAAGTCGAGAAACCTACCGCTCGTATGTGTCCGCGAGAACTCCTCGGCAGCGATGTTGATCAGGCAGAACTTTTGCAAAGTACCTTCCAGAGAGCGTTCCTTCAAATCCACAGCAAGTTGATTCAGGACTTCACTTTCAAGCTCGTCGTGTTCAGGGAAATCAATCCCTCTGTAACACTGCGCGTGAAGGTATACAAACCAAGGGGCCAATGACCTGCCGGGAATGCCAGCGTCTTCGGGTCGAATCAACTCTCGTTTGACCCACGCATTCATGACCTTTCTGAATTCAATCTCAAGATTACCCTTGGCCGAAGGATGGGGCTCTTGAGCGGCCAACGCTCTATACAGATGATAAGTGGCCCTTAGATGGTTTCCGTCGGCGAGGGCAATAACCGCCAATTGGTTATGAGGGGCACCGGACGCGGGGTAGATCAATGTGGCCAGGTCGTAGTAACCTATGGCTGGACCCCAATTGCGGTTCTTGCTGACCAGTTCGGTCTCGCGGTAGCGCGACAGATCTCCGAGACGGATGAGGGTCGAATGGCATGATTGAAGGATGTGCCTTTTGAGGGCTTCGGAAGTTCGGATCGGAGGCTCCGCGGATAGATCTGAGAAAGAAACATGGCTTTGCTCAACGAAAGCCCAGGAATAATTGGGGATGACAATGCTCACTGTCAGAATTGAATTTCCGCGCGACCTTTTCTAGCTCCGGGATGCCTCCAAAGTGGGAGGACAATTGTTGAATGAAGGCTCGATAGAATCGTTGACTTGATTTGATGAACTCGAGGTAGTGTTTCTCGAGCTTCCGCCTTTCTACCGGCTTTTTCTTCTTTCCGCTTTCCTCCCGGAACTATAATTGACATCATATATTAGACATTGGCGGGCAGCGAACGAGCAGGATCTCATGCGACACTCACGCGAGAGAGCAATTTGCGGAAGCGAGTGTTGATCTTGAGATGCGCATCCCACAGGCGAGGTTCGACATCGACGGAGCGGGCAGTCTCGAAGTCTTGAAGGATAGCATTTTGACAAGTAGAGCGGAATCTGCGACGGCGAGGAAGGAAGGACAGAGACGGTCAGATGATTCTGCGCGCAAACCCAAAGCACCGCAAGACGGCAGGAGAGGGGGGCAGCAACTAACTCCGAAAGGTAATGGGAAATTTCAGCAAACGTGGGCTCTTTCTCGGCAAGGCTCTTGAGGAGCTCCTTTTCGACTTCGAGCGCAGTTCTGTATGATGCGGAATTTGGCATTAGAGACACGGGTCCACACACGGTTTGAGGGGAACAAGAAGAATAATTGTAGAGGAAGTAGTGACTGTGAGAGATCGGAGAAGGGAAATACTAACTGCCACGTATTTTGGAACGCGGACGCCATGCTCAGGACCAAGAGAGATCACACCCGTGTCAGTCTAACGGTGACATTCGCCCGTCAGATGGCTATGGCTGGCTGGGAGTCTGCGGGCGACAGGAACAGTGAACGAGCCATCAGTCAGTAAGACTAGTATATACAAAAAAGAGCGAGGGCGTGGAGGGCGGTCAGGATCCCGGAGTGACAGCCACTGGAAGTGAAGGGAAGAAGAAGGAGGAGAAGGATGTGGATGCAGCGATGAGGATGGACCCCGAAGCGCGAAGACGAACAACGGAGGGGTTCGCGGCCGCCGCTCGTTGGAGAGAAAATCCCATATCACGGGAACTTTTCGACGCTCGTCCGAAAATTGGTTGAATGGCTCGGGATGCTTTGCCCGGCCGTCTTTTTTTGTGGCTAGTGAGGGATTTTAACATGTGTGATTGGCTGGATGGGTTGTGGCTGGTGATCCGGTTCAGGCACCGAACCGTTTTCTCGAGTTCTCTTTCCTTACAGTACGAGAACGCCAATACCATTTGGCAGATTTGCAAATCATCAACTTGTGATAGATGCACAACTATTCACTATGCGGTATTTTAGTAGTTCCCGGATATACTTCGATATTATGTTACTATTCAGCTGGCTGGGAACCTGAGGATCCACACTGCAGATACTCATTGCAGAGAAGATCCCTATACTATTAGCACTGTATCTGCATATCGCATACTCCAATTATATTCCTACACTTATCATTTCTTTCCCTATGCATTGTCTAAGTAACTACTACCATAGCCATCCATAATTGACAAGTCCTCTGGCAATCTCCATCACAAAGGTACTCAACCTCCTAGTTCCGGACTTTCCATCATCCATTCCTCCACTAATCGCGGAAGCTATGACATCCGCTAAAAAAGTATCCCACTTCCAGTCTAGAACCAATCCAGCCTAGTGGCTCATCAAATATTCGCTGGGCATTCCTCCATATTCCATTTCTTATACTATAACAATAACACTACACTATCAATCACTATCTTGTAAATTTCTACTACACCCTACATTTAATTCTTCGTAAGCAATCAACATCTCTTCACCCTTCAAACAAACAAGAAAAATCCCCAAACTAACCTACACATCCAGACAAATCAACCACATTACTACTTCTACCCCAATCTGCACACTTCATTGCAACTGCAGCCCATCCAAACTAAACCAAACCCTGACCTATCACAATCCCCCAAACACCTCACCATCATCCACCAGCAACCCAGCACCACCACTTCATACAAAAGACAATCCCAGGAAAAAGGAAAAATGTCCAAACGCTCACGAAGCACATCCCCATTCCCATCATCACCCTCACCTTCACCATCACCACATTCCTCCCCACCCACCCGTCCCAAAATCCCCTCCCTAGATCCCACAGCCACACCCCCCAACCAAGAAGTCATGCACTGCTCGCTACCGCCCCATCGGGAAACCATCTCGTTTACGTCCTACGAAGACTACGAGGTGCATTACCGCCAGGCACACGTGAACCGGTGTTCGCAGTGTGGGAAGAATTTCCCGACGGAGAGGTTTCTGAATCTTCATATTGAAGAGAATCATGATGCGTTGGTAGCGACGAGGAGGGAGAGGGGGGAGAAGACTGTACGTTATTACCCTTTTCTTTTTCTCCCCCTTCTCTATGTTGATGTTCTAATGCTAATGGTTATAATATGCAGTATGCATGCTTCGTCGAAGATTGCGAACGCGTATGCTCTACGCCTCAGAAACGCAGAATGCATTTGATTGATAAGCACATGTTTCATAAGGTATAATACAATTTCTCCTGCCATCTATTTACTCCCATGTCTACTGGAGACTATGGCTAATGTATGTATCCAGACATACAACTTCTACATTGTCAACGACGGCATCGACAAACAGACCTCTCTACTGAGGACGCCGCATGACCATCGTCGGCGGTTATCATCAGCTGCTACGGGTCCTACTTCGCCGAAGGAAGGGCGGTTACGGTATCGTCAGACTTCCATATCGCAGGCTGATTCTGGTGCGAGTGCTCAGAAAGGCTCTTCTCCGTCTACTACTTCTCGACAAGGTGCTGCTGCTACTGCTGCTCCTGCTGATGATGAAGGGATGGCGGAGCTGGAGAGGTCTATGTCTGCGTTGCGGTTTGTTCCGGCTAGTGTGGCGAGGAGTCGGGGGAAGCAGAAGTCTTGATTTTCTTTGTTGGGTGGGGTTGAGAGTATCTGGATTGGTTGACATTGGGTTTGTTTTGGTGAAAAGTAGTGGGTTACGGCTACTAGGGGTGGACTGCTATGTATTCTTGATACCCGTTACTTGCAACACGCATCGCTTTTATTAATACCCGGTTCATTCGATTGGAGAGCGGTCTTGTGGTCGGATACATTAGCCCATGGAAGCTAACGGAAGTAGGGGAGTTCGTGGTCACTCCCTTTTCAATCTGTAGACTTCCAGCAGGTGGAAGGCGAAAATCATGAGCCAACCGAGGTGATGACCATACACAAGAGCCGCTCTCCTCCCCAGAAAAGAAAACAGAAACAGTTTATGTACACGGAAGAAACTAAGGAAATAAAGATGTCATATCCGTGAAGACATGGGTATACAACAACACCAGCAATACAGAAAAACCAAAGTGTCATTAGCGAATAAGGCGGTTCAGCCATTGATCAAATCACGAAACCGAGACATAAAGAATCACAGATAGTGCTGGCTCCCCAGCGCTGTGAAGAGTGGAATATTGCTTGGAAGTCTGCCGTGGCGTCGAATAACGAGGCGCCAGTCGAACTCAGAGCGAGGTGGGCAGTTACATCTGCGTCTCTAGAAAGTCGGCGTAAGTATCGAGACTCGACCCAACTAGATCCACAATCGCCCAGCTGGTGTTCCCTTTGAAGGTTCGTGCCCAAACACGCACGATGGCAACGCTCAGCTGCTTCGCTTTATAGGGGTTGGCGATAAAGTCCAGGTCGGGTGCCCCAGGGGGATCAACAGCCATGTCGGTTTCATCCATCATACTCTTAATCCACAGAAGCAGCTTTCGCTCGTGCTCTGACAGTCTCTGCTCGGCCTGGGTTACGGGTATTGACAGCAGCCAACGGCTAAGGAGGAAAGCACACTCCAAGCTACACAGCGAGTGCTGGATGCTCCAGAAGAACGAATGGGTTCGGGCCACAAAGTCAATACCTAGGCGGACTGGAATTGAAAGTGCATGGGCCGAATGCAAAAGAGCCATGATCAGACGAGGGCTTCGTGCTACTGGTGGGGATTCACCCAGAGCCCTCGCGATTTGCAGGGGATCTTGCGTGATAAGACGACGACAAGGTCCCAAGTCAACATGCAACCGAATATAAGCAAGCCCGAGAAGGGCAGTAGACGTGAATGCTATCGGACCTGCCGGGTTTTGAGGATCAATGCTAGATTCAGGTGTGCGTTTCCACAACGCCTTCCAGGCACTCAGAGAATTGTCCAAAGCGGACAAGTCTTCTTGGCGTAAGCTTGTCCCATGCATACTTGGGGCAGAGAGGCATAGCTGACGTGCAAAGAATATTTGCTGGATAATAGCGTGTATCAGGATATAGTTCCCAAGGGGAGATATCGGCGCTGAGGCGCTAGAAGTACTGGACTTGAAGAAAAGTCTGGCAAAAGCCTCCTGGAAGGAGACTTCTGGCCCATGCCTCGTGCGGAGGACACGGCGCCATTGAGCTGCATTTGAAGCCTTCCAGACGTCGTGCGAACAGGGCATGTTCAGCTTCAGCTCGGCGTTAAGAATGAGAGGGGGGATGTTGTACATGATAGAGTGGAGGTTGAAGAAGCAATAAACAATGAATTTGGTCCGCCGATTACCTTCCCGTCGTATCCAATCTTCCCAGTTGTTCGGGTCGGGGCTAGGAGGTGGCTCGACGAGACCATGTTCTCTCACGAGCCTCGCCAGCGTGCTTTGAAGTGAGAGCATTTCTCGTAACAACTCCGGGTGCCGTTCCCACGAAGCAAACACTGTAAGCAGAAGAAAAGTTCGGATCACTTCCATGTGGGCATCCGAATCTTCGGGAGCATATCCAGAAGGATCCGCTGGGTATAGAGTAGGGTGCTGCTGCTGGAACGGGCTACTGGTATGGTTTGAGGTCGCGGACGACCCGCGAGAGTTGTGGAACCCAGATGCCGGTGACAGGAAGTTCCAGGTCGGACAAGCCACTTGCTTACTATCTCGGCGGTGGAGACGCTGAAGCAGGATGGCCTTGGCTGCGTGGAATAGCTCTATGCCTCGATTGTTTTCAAATCGATAATGAGACCCCGCAGCCGCTAGCGCAAGAGTGAGCTCGGGTGAGCATTTGGCAACGGAGAGCGTGGGGACATGAATGAAAGGAAGATGCTCGTTTAAGCCGTTGATATAACCAGCAAAAAACCGAGACAGTGCGTGCCTTGAAGGTGGAATGAAGTTTTTGGGAAGAATATAGGCGAATTCATCGAGCTTCGACAGGAAGACCTGACGGTCTGCATTTGATATATCCCAGGCGGGGCGAGGTCCTTCATCACCAAACCCGAGACGGTCATCTACATCATGAGGTTCAGGCTGCAAGGACGGTAGTCGTGATCCAAAATTAGAAAATGACGGCTGTTCATCAGCTGCAGTCCGCGGGTCGCTCATGAGCTCGGGACCAAGTCTCCCCATTTCACGGATGGCTGGCTTTGAGTCCATTGGGAGAGTAGTCGGCAGGATCGGGTCTTCAACCGTGGAGAATACGCCAGAGTCCCAGTCGGACGACAGGCCTACGCTCTCCAGGAAGACCGTGAAGTCTTGAACAGGATCCCCTAAGTCAGCAAGATCCAAGATAGAGGGTTCGACGCCATAATTATCGGTTATCGCTCTCTCGGGGACGTGGGGAAGTGGCTGCGAGGTGCCCACGTTCTGTGAAGACTTGCGGAGCGATTCGAGACTTTCCTGTTCACCCTCCAGGGCAACATGACTTGCAGCGTGGGAAAGGAGATTCAGGTCATATCCCCAAGAAGGGTTGAAGTGAGGCGTTTCCACAATCGGGGGAGGTTGCACCTGCACCTCGGGAGGCGGCGGCGGCACGGGTTGGGTGTGAATAGGGACAGCGTCGGCAAGCTCTAGCATGCGGGACTCATGATGGTGAGTGGGCTGTATTATGGGAGGTTGGGTCTGAGGGACATCGTGGCTATTCTGAGCACGATGCTCCCGGTTGGCTGCGGTCTCAGTTGGATGGACTAGCCGCTCATGTCGTACGAGCAGATCACTATGAAATTTCCCCCCATATTAGCGCGGGGCGGCTGCGATGCAACGCGGGCAGCAACTTACCTCCTCGCAAAAGATTTGGAGCAAATATCACATGAGAAAGGTTTCTCCTTAGTATCTAGATGGCACACGTCAGTCTCGCGTGTGTGGGAAGGCCACAAGCAGCCGGGAAAGGCTTCAGGGTTACTCAACGGGTGCGGAGATGGCGCTGGAGGTGTTCCAGGCGCGCAAACGACCGACTGCAATATTCGCAAGACAAGGACTTGCGATGAGCGGGAGTGCTTTTCTTCCTCACTTTTCCCGGGGTGCCTCTGTCGTCCTCCATGGCGAATTGCCTTGGAATTGGACCATGTCCTTAGATGGGATTACAGGCGAGCGGGGAAGAAAAACTGTGGGGTCAACATGAGGGGGTTTTGCGAGTTACGGTCACGTGGTGCCCTCCCGCTGCCTTCCGCCGAAAGGAAAGCCCTACCACTCATTAATTATTCTGTCTACTACGTGTGGAGGCCAGTCGGTTCTCACCTCTCCCCTTGTCAAATTAGGTCACTTTCCCCGCGATATTCCCCCCTGTCGGTCTTCAAAATTTAACCTCAGAGAAGGGCAATGCGGGCGATATTGCTGCATTGTGCGCCGGTTAGGTCTCTACGCAGATTTCCTGCACATCCCTTGGACGAAAGTTGACTCCGCCATCCCCACCGGTGCGGAGATGTTTACTTTGGGCGTCGATATCACGAACATCTCCTCACAGAGGCCCGCACCACCATGGGGAGTCCAGTTGGGGTTACAACAACACTCTGAATTTAAATATCAGATGGGAGATAAAGTAGCTGTGCACAACATAACTATGTCAAGTCAACATTTCTAGCTACATTATTACTTACTATAGCTATTACATGACTGGGGTACTTTCTGTATCTGACAAGCACCCGCTCCTCGGAGATATATATCATGTACAACATTGTGTCCAGCCTGAACTCAATTAGGCCGACCGTCTGCGTCACGGTGCTTATCTTTGCTCATTCCACAACGTTTTCATCAGCTGCCATATGCTCCCCCACTTTCTTTTCTTTACACACTATCTCAGCCAAGGACCAAATCAATGACATCCGTTGCATACTTGTACTACAAAGAGGGAGGTAGTACTAGACATGCGATATTCGGCAATAATACGCTTTATTATATCTTTAGCCAGGGGAATAAGGGGCAGAGTATTCCTCCCCTTAGCAATCATTCTTATCGAAAGCCAATGTTTCAGCTTAAGCGGACGCCAAAGCATACCAGGTAACTCGTGATTCCCTTATGGACTACTACTAATAGTACCTTAGTAGTAGATGGTTGAGGTGAAGCTGTTACTGCCTGAGCGCCAAGGTATCTGCTCGGTAATCGGACTGAAATGAGCCCCAAAGCTGATTTGTCCCTCGTAGCCCCTTGAGCTATCTTTAACTCATCTCATCTGTCGACCGCTATCCGATTGTGAATAGAGCGGAGCGGTCCTGAGTCGCAGCAGCCGAAATTGGAAATGGACGGGACACAGATGGCCGGATGGTTCAGATGCTGAACCGTCCCACCCCACCGAACCCCCAGAACTTGGTACCGAAACGGGGCCACGATCTATCTACATCGATTTACACACCTTGCTGCATGAAATAAAAGCTCAGGGTCGTGAATGGAGCATGCTAGTAGATATAGGGTATGCCTTTTTGAATGAACGAGCTTTGAAGCGCTTGTCGACTCAAGCTAGACTTGCGAGTGGAACAAGTCTACTGACCAGTGGTAATCCTCGTGATGCCCGTACGATGGTAAACTGGTAGTAGTCTCCATCATTGACGTTATTTTCCTGACCCAAAGAATACATAATATATATGGTACCTTGGGATATCTTCGTATAAAGTTCGGTACCATGTTAGGGTTTACTGGAGTCCCTGCTTATGGCTTCTTCTCAGGG